CAGAAAGTCCAATCGTAGCCAAAGAGAATGCCATGCAGATAATTATATTTTGAAAAGAATAGTTATTACTGCTCTTAACTAAGTATTAATAAAATATATAACAATATATTTGAAACTAAGAGATTTCTGAAGTATTTAGTTGAATAGAAAGGAAACGATTCAGTCCAAATATATAAAATATATGAACATATTACCGCAGAAGATACGCATTTTATAGTTACCAAGACATTTATGTTATACAGTTTTTCAATTAAATAAAATTACTCCAATAATCATACTAACAAATAGATGATGATGCTTAAAGTGACAATTATATTTTGAGAAAGAAATGGAAAAGAACATTAAAAGCTTACCCTTGCCAACAAATTTCTTTCAAAAAACTGTATTTAGGATGTCTGATAAAAATCAACCTTCAAGGTAAAATTGGAACTGAAAGCATTTTTTCTTCATTTTGATCTAATCTATGAAGGTCATCATTTTTTTGTTCTAATGCATTTAGCTAACAACAGAAAAGAAAAGGAAGGTTTTACAATGCTACTTCAATATACTCTGTGATTCCAATTAATTTGTTTCACCTATATTTATAACTGTAACAAAATTCTCTTCCTTTGAGACTTTAGAACTAGAATCCATTCTGAAATGAAAATGTTTTCTCTAAACTTTTTAAAAATAAAAATAAACTGTTGTTACCCTTGTCAAGATTTCTTCCTACCTTAGAAAGTTGAAATTTTTGTATTGAATAAACTAGTATGAAAAGAGTGAAGTAAAAATAAGTAATTTTCTATTGAGTTGAATATTTGAAGCAAGTTGTAAAGACATAAATTGAAATTTAGATTAATGTGGCACATGCCTTAGACCTTAAAATAAAATAGAATATTCAATTTATTGTCTGTCAAATAAGCATACATACATCTACAATAGTGTTGATAGTAAGGACAGGAACGCTGTATTGGTAAGCTACATCATCAGTGATATAAACAAGTTGGAAAACATTTGTCAAATCAATTAAAAACTTCAGTACAATAGCACATTGGTGGGAAAAATCACTAAGACAAGGGTGGTTTCCAATTTATTGTGTAATTATTTCGGGTATAAAGCTAGCCGTGCAGGTGGCCTGGTGCCAGGAATGTAGCCCACTGCTACAATTACAACAATTATGTATACAATATTCCGTCTGTGTGTATGCCTGCAGGCCAGAAGAGGGCACCAGACTCCATTACCGATGGTTGTGAGCCACCATGTGGTTGCTGGAAATTGAACTCAGGACCTTTGGAAGAGCAGACAACTCTCTTAACCTCTGAGCCATCTCTCCAGCCCCTTTCTTAAATTTTTTTAATGAAATTTCCTACTAACTTCCTGAGTCAATTTTATGCTTTTTTTTGAAACTATCTTATTATGCTGCCTACACTGGCTTCCTGTCTCAGTCTTGCAAGTGTTAGGCTTACAGAAATACATGCCCATGCCTGACATGCCTGCCATGCCTGCCTTTGATTTGTATTTGAGACAAGGTCTCTTGTAGCTCAGGCTGGCCTCAAAGTTCCTATGTAGTCTCTATGGAGTTATGGATAGTCTTGAATGCCTACCTCAATGTTCTGAGTGTTGAAATTACAAGTGTGTGCCACCATGCCTGGCTTTCGGCTTCAATTATAACTATTATTTTCTAAGAAAATATTTCCTCAATGTTTTTCAAGTTAATTTTATAGTTATATATTATATTGTCTTGAAATGAAGAACCAGTAAAATTCTGCATACTCAGATGAAATATTACCCTGTCTTCTAGCACTGACAAAGTTTCTAAGCAACTCTTACATGTCCTACAAATCCTGCTGCACCGCAGATCCCCATATCTGGACAGAAAGTAATGACTGGCAGCATGGCAAAGCACACCGAGCATTGGGGATGTAGCTTAATAATAGAATACTCGTCCAGAATGCATGAGACCTTGCTCTACATCTAGTCTGCAACACTGCAGAAATAACCCCCACTTGTTAGCATCCAGGAGATGGAGAAAGAGGGTCAGAAGTTTGAGACCATCCCCACTTATATAAGGAGTTTAAGGACAGCCTGATTGAGATATTCTGTCTCAAAATAAATAGAAATAAAAATCAACATAGAATCCGGGTTAATTTAGTACTTTAGGGAGATAACATTTTGATGAGAAACAGAAAGCTTCTCTTATACCACCCTCTTCGTTTACAACCTCCCTTTTGTCAGCTCAGAGCATCACACCAGCGCTGTACGCACTTAGTTAATGGAGAAAAAGGAGCACCAATAGTCTGAAATAATCCTTAGGTATCCTGTAAGTTTATTGGCTTGTTTTATGAGCTTTTTCCTCTTAACTCAACATTAGTGGCATCTTGAAAGAGCGGTAAAGAAGCTGAGGTGAGGTTAGAGAGAAAAACTGGATGCTAGCAGTGAGGGAGAAAGAACTAATTTTGGAGACTGGCAAGGAAATGAAATTATCAGTGGAAGTGGGAAGGGAATTGAGTGATAAGTGTAGGAGACAGGGTAAAACGATATTAGGAGGAGGGGAGACCGAGGTTGACTTGAGGCAGTTGTATATTTTGTTATGATTAGATTTTTTTTGAGACTGGTCTCTCTATGTACCCCAGAATGGTCTTTAATTCCTGATCTTCCTGCTTCTACCTCTTAGTGATGTGATTACTGGCTGGGTTGGGCTATCATGCCCTGCATATGATATTTTTGTTGCAATTAAAATAGGAGTTTGTATCAACTAGCCTAAAACATTTGTTAAGACAAGGTGCCAGCCCAAGGTCCAAATCAGGAGCAGAAGGAGAGAGAGCACGAGCAAGGAACTCAGGACCACAAGGGGTGCACCCACACACTGAGACAATAGGGATGTTCTATCGGGAACTCACCAAGGCCAGCTGGACTGGGTCTGAAAAAGCATGGGATAAAACCGGACTCACTGAACATAGCGGACAATGAGAACTGCTAAGAAGTCAAGAACAATGGCTCTGGGTTATGATCCTAGTGCACTTACTAGTTGTGTGGGAGCCTAGGCTGTTTGGATGTTCACCTTACTAGACCTGGAAGGAGGTGGGAGGTCCTTGGACTCCCCACAGGGCAGGGAACCCTGACTGCTCTTCGGGCTGCTGAGAGAGGGGGAGTTGATTGGGGGAGGGGGAAGGAAATGGGAGGCCTTAGCGGGGAGGAGACAGAAATCTTTAATAAATAAATAATAATAAAACAAACAAAAGAACAACAGCAACAAAAAGACAAGGTGCCAGATAACCATGACTGGCCTGAAATTTTATATATAGACTAGACTGGCCTCAAAGTTACAACAATCCTCCTGCCTCTGGGATTACAAGCAAGCGCCACAGCCTTGGCAAATTTTGAATTCTATTATCACTTCCACGAGTATTTGTTTAAGTACCGAAAGCTTACTTGGTTTGAAAAATTATTGTACTAACAATTCAGTAAAATAACAGCTATCCCCAACGCTTAATCTGGTTTTCCATATTCTATGTATCGCCTCTTTCATTTATTTAACAGGTTTCTTTTCTTTCTTTCTTTCTTTTCTTTCTTTCTTTTTTTTTGAGACAGGATTTCTCTGTGCAACAGCCCTAGCTCCTGGAACTAGCGCTGTAGACCAAGCTGTCCTCTAACTCACAGAGATCTGTCTGCCTCTGCCTCCCAAGTGCTGGGATTAAAGGCCACCACCACTTAGCTTCTCCTCTTTCATTTATTATTGGCTTCCTTCCTAAAATACCTATCCAAAAATATAAAGCAGTGCCTTTCACTTATTTCCTACTCTTCTTGCTTAAATACCTAACGGCACCCCCCTTACCCCCCCACCCCCCCACCCCCACCCCCACCCCCGGCTCAGAGGGCAGCTGCATAAGGGAGAATATTGATAGCATCAGAATGGCTCTCTTGTTTGACCTCATTTAAGCCGGGGGGGGGGGGGGGGGGGGGGGGGGGGGGGGGGGGCAGGAGGTGAGCCACAGCAAGCAGCAAGCGGGAGTCAGAAAAACCTTGAATTTACAGAGAGAGGTAGGGGGTCAAAGTTGTTCCGGGCAGGGGCTTTTTTTTTTTTCTTTTTGGGTTACAGTAGCTAACCTCCATTCATCCCTTGCCCACCACCCACCCAGGCGCCACTATTGAGCAAGGACGTTTTCAGTACTTGCCCCCAAATAGTTTTGCAACTTCAAAGTTGTAGTGAAATTGGAAAGTTGGGTCAGTGAATCTCTCCCATTCCACAAGTGATGGAGAAGATTTTGCAGGATCGGTGAGAAGACAGTACAGAGGTTTAAAGATTTGAAAGAGATGGAAGCTCGCTAAGAAGCTCAGGGAACTAGTAGGGCAGGGGCAGCAGTAGAGGGAGCCCCGGGTCAGGAGGATCAGGTTCTTCAACTTGAAGACCTTTTTCTTTGCCCCCTAGAAGAGAACCCGGTTGGGGGTACACGGAGACTGGCACTTCAGAGCCACTTGCTATGAACTGGCCCTGCCAAAGGCTGCTAGTCGCTGGTCCTAGCCGGGCGTGTCTTGGCTCAGCTCTGTTTCTCTAGGACTGATTGGGCGCTGGTGGGGCTCGGCAGGAGGCTGCTGCGTTCGACTGTGATCGCCTGTGCTCCGCTGTGCTCGGCTGTGTTCGGCTAAGTTCGGCTATGCTCGGCTGTACTCGGCAGCGCTCGGCAGGAGGCTGCTGCGTTCGACTGCTATCGCCTGTGCTCCGCTGGGTTCGGCTGTGCTCGGCTACGTTCGGCTGTGCGCCTTTGGGCTCGGTTGTGCCCGCCTGCATTCGACTGTGAGCAACTGGGCGGGACTGTGTTCGGCCGTGAGTTTTCTGTGCTCGTCTAGGTTCGGCTGGGAGCCTCTCGGCTCGGCTGTGCGCCGCTAAGTTCGGCTGTGCTCGGCCAAGTTCGGCTGCATTCGGCTGAACTCCTTGGGCACCCCCTGGCCGCTTCGGGGAGACGAGCCTGTGCTCATAGAGGGCATGAAAGCCGGAGCGCCATCTAGCGGTACCGGCCCCCAAAAGTGAGGAAGGAGGAGCCCAGAGGTACCCGGACCACAAGGGCGGGCCCTGCACTGCAGCAGCGAGCCTCGGGCGGGCGCCTGCAATGACGCCATCTCCACGTGACAGCGCGCTGACCAGCCGCGTTCTCCACGTCTCAGGTTTTGCAAAGACTCATGGGAGCAACCCGGACGAAGGTGTGTCGAGATGGCGGAAGCCGAGGAATCGCCTGGAGAACATGAGACAGCGGCGCCTAAGCCTTTGGTGAGCTAGGGTACTGTGACAGAAGGGGCCCAGGGTGAGGCAGAACTCCCCTAATGGAAGTCGGGCACTGGTCGTGGCTTAAGAGAGCTAGAGCTCCTTCGCCTTGCAGGCCTCTGCTGCTACAGTCATTAGCAAAGCACCTGTACTTTGAGTTAATTGCTTTCCTCTCCTTCCGCGGTCCTTCCTTCTGCACTTTTTCGTGTATCTCCTCTGCCCTTCCACACTAGGGGTTCCTTGTCCCCTACGTTGTGTCAAATGCTGAGCCTTGAGTGCTTTCTGAATTAATCTGCTCTCACTGTCATTTTATCAGGACATGTCACCAGCCATTGTGAAGTATTCCAGAAGTAATGAGAAACAGCTTCCCATAGGACGTTGTCATTTTATTGCTTGTAACTTGAATCTTTACTTGTTCAGTGACCCTAGTAGGCTAAATATTATTTCCAGGTCGTTGTCATCCTCTTCGGGACACTTAGAGTAAAAGCCACAGTGCATACAACTTAAGAACACAGGCTTTACAGTTAAACTTACGTGGGCTGGAATCCATTCAAACTGAAGCTTGTGTGAGTTTAAGCAATTAATTTCAGTAGAAGGTATTTATCTCTTAAACTAAAATAGAAGTCTCTGCCTTTAACAGTTTCCAGGAAGACAAAATAACATAACTCATACGAAGTGCCTAATACAATCAAGACCATGATCAGAGGACTATAAGGAAGTCATTGTTATACCCTGCTGTTCTTCCTTCCAAACAGTATTTGCTTATATAGTGTTTGCTCAATAAATGATTTCATTTCTTTTCTTTTAAATTGGCAACTTAACAGTAGAGAACCGAAGTGAGAGGCAAGTGAACTTGGTTCTCGTCCCAGCTCTGCTCCTTAGTGGTTCTCTTTGTTCATGTCTTCATTCAGCAAATATTGATTGAGTATCTCCTGTGTTCCAGACAGTATTGTAGGTACCAGGAATGAAACTCTCAAAGATTGTGTTGGGTCTGGAGTTGTAGCTCAGTGGTAAAATGCTTGTTTTGCGTGTGCAAAGCCCTATAGGTCTTATCCCCATCACTGAAGGGACAAGGTAATTGGGTCACCTTATGGATCAGTTGTGACCTTGAGTAAAATTACTCTAAACCCCAGTTTACTCGTTGGGAAAATGATTTCACAGAATAGTGAAAAGCACGTAAACTAATGCAGACATTGTTGACTGTGACATAGTTAGTGACAGGTAACCTAGCTGTTTTTAGTTTCTCTTTCCTCCAGACTGCTCCCTTCAGTGAAGCCCAGTACGCATGTATGTAAGTATGCATGTACGTATGTATGTATATATAGACAGGGTCTTAACTGTGTTCACCAGACTGGCCTGGAACTCATGCTTGAAAAAACTGAATAGTTGAGGGCAAGCTTCTAGCATTTACTCATTATGTTCTGCCACCTTTAATTAAAAGGAATGTTTGAGAATTAACTGTATTGTTTAATGTCTGTTGCGTTAACATTTACTTTTGACTACTATGCAAAACCCAAATAATTGCTAGGCGGTGGTGGTGCACACCTTGAATCCCAGCACTAGGGAGGCAGAGGCCAGCCTCTGTGAGTTCAAGGCCAGCCTGGTCTACAGAACTAGTTCCAGGACAGGCTCCAAAGCTACAGAGAAACCCTGCCTCGAAAAACAAAAAAAAAAAATTAAAAAAAAAAGAAGAAGAAAAAGAACAAGAAAGAAAAATCCAAATGAAATATACAGTCCCATCTCTAGAAAATGGTGATGGTTTGGGGATATTTTGCAGTCTGTTATAAACTGAATTGTCTTTCCCCAATCTTTTCTCAGTTCGCGGGCCTTTCTGATATATCAATTTCACAAGACATTCCAGTGGAAGGCGAGATCACTATTCCCATGAAAGCTCGTGCTCGAGAACTTGACAACTCCACACTAAATGAGTCCGTTCGCCATACCATCGTAAGTTAGACTAGTCGAGAACCCCCCTCGGTGTTGCAGGTATAAATACTACTAATGTTTTGAAAGATTTTTGTTTGGTTCTTTGATTTTTTTAATATATTTTACCTATTGAAATTTAAGATTCTCTCTTTGAGAGTGAGTTGTTAGTCTTTTTAGCAAGTGGAGGAGACTGCCTGGTAACTTTACTCATTACAGTACATCAAGTTATTTTTGTCTTTCAGATGCGTGATCTAAAAGCTGTGGGAAAGAAATTTATGCACGTTTTATATCCAAGGAAAAGTAATGCTCTGTTAAGAGACTGTGAGTATGGAGGTTTTGAGGATTTGCTTTGTATCATTGGTACCTTATCATTTACTGCTTTATAAAAGGCAAGTGTAATAAAGCTGACGTTTCACAGGATGAGACACTTATATAAATGAATTTTTTTTTTTTGGTTTTTCGAGACAGGGTTTCTCTGGGGCTTTGGAGCCTGTCCTGGAACTTGCTCTGTAGACCAGGCTGGTCTCGAACTCACAGAGATGCGCCTACCTCTGCCTCCCGAGTGCTGGGATTAAAGGCGTGCGCCACCACCGCCCGGCTTTATAAATGAAATTTTTGAAAGAAATTTGGAATAGAATTTCAGCAGTTGAAAGACTTAGCTCATTGTATTAAGTTCATCCATAAATATGAGCTTACAAATGCTCACAGGTGAGCTTAAATGCGATTGGCTGTCGTTGGGAATGTAGGGGATATCATCTATGTCCTTTGATGAGCTTCAGATTCCATCCGTATCCTGAAGTCACAGGCAGAATTTTGGATTTGAATATTTTGTACATTTAAGGGACAGATTGTTCATGGCTCTTCATGTGTTGGGATGGGGATTAGGAAGTGAAGAAAGGGTAATTCATGACTCATAGAGGGAAACGGTGAAGACAGATATGGGGACAGAAAGGTTGGGGAGGCTTAGGTAAAACTTGCTCTTTGGATTCTAAGAGTGAGAGAGGTAAGAATTAGGATAAATATAGGAAATATGGCATATTTGTTTCTTAGCATCCTGTCTTTTCTTTCCTTGTAGGGGATTTGTGGGGCCCATTAATACTGTGCGTGACACTTGCATTGTAAGTATTTACTTTCATTTTCACTAGACATTTTGATGGAGTTCCAGAATTAAGGAAAAAGTTGACTAGGCCTTTAAGACCTCTTAAAGACAAGATTGTACTGTATAGCCCACACTATCCCAGAATTTTCCATGTAGCTCATGCTTGCCTCAAATTTGTGCTTTTCCTGCCTCTGCTCTGAGTGCTAGGTTTACAAGTATGCGCCACCACACCATAACTATTAAAATTTAAATTTATGATATGCTCATTTAGATTGTAATGCAGTATTATTTTCTTGTACCTTTAGTAATCATATCAAGGGAACCAGTTCAGTGCCTTGAAAGGATGTATGTTAAGAGCTCTTGGAAAATAAATATATATATGAATAAATGTATGAATGTTGTTGGATCCATGCATGTAAATTAGAGATCCTTTTCTAGATTTGGTGTGCTTTTGTTACAAGTATAGAACTACAGGGACAATAATTTTATGATTATTAATAGCTAACACTTATTGGACACACACACACATATATATATATCAGTTTACTATTCTACTTTTAAAAGAATTTTTGTAATATCTTTATTCAAGAACACTTTACCATGAAATCATTTTTTCAAAGTGTACAATTCAGCAATTCGTACTATATATTCATTAGTTTTAAAAGATTAACCTCAGAGCTTATGTATTTCACTTCACTTATTTGCAGAGAAAACTATAATCCTAAGATGGAATTGAGTGACATGTTTAGTGACAGAACTAGGATCAGTGTCTGAGTCACCTGCTTCCCAGATTAGTTAGTGTTGTTTTCAACCTACCATGCTCAAGTCATAGGGGTTCCAGACGACTGAGAGTGCTAACACATTCTTTGCACCTGATGGTCAAGATTTGGCATGGAATATACATAGCCATACAATACAAAGTTCTCCACATATTGGCAAGCAGCAGAACCACACAAGAATTAATATGTAACCTCTCTATCCTATATAATAGGAGAGGTTATTAATTTTTTATTACTTTTTAGGGAAATATAATTTCTCTAAGTCCAGAATTTGAAACATTTTACATCTATTAAATTCTTAGACACAGAATATTTAGATGCCAGTTCAATATTTACTCAGTTTCAAAGCAAAGTCCTTTAGTAATATTTATCTTCTGATTTTTTTAAAAATCAGGAACTAAATACTATTAAATACTACTAAATACTATCAAAGACTATTTCTGTTACTGAGCATGTGCCTCAAACCTTAATGTAAGAATTACAAATTGATGACGGGCAGTGGTGGCGCACGTCTTTAATCCCAGCACTCGGGAGGCAGTGGCAGGTGGATCTCTGTGAGTTCGAGACCAGCCTGGTCTACAAGAGCTAGTTCCAGAACAGGAACCAAAAAAGCTACGGAGAAACCCTGTCTCAAAAATTTAAAAAAAAAAAAGGAATTACAAATTGATAGCTGAGCATGTTGCTTATAATCCTGGCGCTGAGGTGGGAAGATAACAAGTTAAAGTCCAGCCTAGGCCACACAAGCAGACCTTGTTTAAAAGACAAGCAAGCAAACAAGCATTCAGATTTACTAACAGCTAGGAAAGCAATCCAAACACAGAGTACTGATCTGATGACTGGAAGGCCCTTTTTGTTATGCCAGCTACACCTGATACTATGTTGTAATCTTAGAGGCCCAGTGTGGAAAAAAAAAACTCACTTTTCACCTAAACTCTTAAATAAAGATTCCGTTTTGTTTTGCTTGGGAATGTGACCCAGGGCCTCCTGCATGCTAGGTAGATACTCTACCACTGAGTAATCTTCACTAAAAAGGTACATTCTTTTCTTTTAATTCGCCAGCCTTCTGCCTTAATCTTCTTATAGTCCTTAGGCATTTGGATTTTAAATAAGAAAGCCTTACCAGATTCTATTGATGTTTCTCTTACAATGCAAAGTACACATTACAGATGTTCAGATGCCATATGCCCTAGCAATCTGGTGAGAAGCATGCTTTTGTAGCTTTGTATAAAAGATTATGTAGTTTTTCATGCTGTTTCTTAGAATGCTACAAAAGGGTTCTGTGGATGGAGAAAAAGATGGAGGACCACAATTTGCAGAAGTTTTTGTTGTTGTCTGGTTTGGAGCAGTCACAATTACACTCAATTCAAAACTTCTTGGCGGAAACATGTAAGTATCATTATATGTACCCTTTTCCTCTTTGCTAGGTAGCGTATCGTACATTTTAGGGAAACAGTACTATTTTGATATTTTTCTTTAAAGAAAATTTGACTTAATGACCAAATAAAAAGTTCTCTTAATACCATTAAAATAGAGCAGCAACTCAATTGAAATAAAATTTAGAGTTCAGTGATGAACTTCAGATATTCTCTGTAAACCTTGAAGTTGTAAGCAAATTTACTTAAGATACATGCGTTTTGGGGGAACCTATGGTAAACACATCCTCAAATTTGTCTCTAACTAAAGTAGATTAAGAACTACACTAGAGAATCAATGGGAGATCTCTAGTAATTCGAGTAGATCATCTGATATTAGAAAATTGACTACTAAGGGACCTAAGAGGGGAACAGGAAGAGTAGAGAGAATATGAAAGTATATGATACAGGAAACTAGTCTTATTAAATTACCATCAGGGTAAAGATATAGATAGGATAGCCAGAAGGAGGCAATAGTCCATCAAATCTGTGAGGCATCTGTGCAATAAGATGTGTCTGGTACCATTCGATGATACTTAATGATCTGTGGATGCGTGTAGTTCTTTCTTTCAGAGCCTATGTGTGCTGGGATACTGCGTACTTCCTTTGACTGTTGCAATGCTGATTTGCCGGCTGGTGCTTTTGGCAGGGCAGGGCCCAATAAATTTTATGATTCGGCTTTTTGTGGTAGTGGTAATGTTTGCTTGGTCTGTGATTGGTGAGTATGTACTTATATGTATAGTACCAGAATTGATAAAACCATGGGTTAAAAATGAAGAGCCAATTATGAACAATTAAATTCTGCTGTCAAATGAACATAGCAGCCATAGAACCTGCTGTTCTAAGAAAATTTTGAAGGTGATGGTGTCCGTGTGATGTGAGCTGGACATCTGAACTTAGAAGATATGAACAGTCTCTGGGCATGGTAGTGTGCACTTACAATCCCAGCTACTTTAGAGATTGAGGAAAGAAGATTGCCGTTCAAAACCGAATTGGACAGTTAGCAATACCCTGTCTCAGAATAAAACTTATCAAATGAGACTGGGAATTATAGTAGTACTTATAGTAGAGTGCTTCTTTAGCACTTTCGGGCCCGAGTTGAAGCCTCTGTCCCAGAGAACAGAACAAAAAAGCTGTACATAACCACATTTTTTTTAGACAGGATCTCAGTCTTCTATCTTACTCAGGCTGGCCTTAAACTCATAATCCTCCTGCATTTGCCTCCCAAATTGTTGGGATTACAGACCTGCACCATTCTGCCTAACCTGTAGGGGTTGTTCTTGTTGAGTAAGAGGATGAGTAAGCTTTTCTTAGATGAACAGAATAGCACTTTAAAGAGAGCTGGTAACTTGCAGGCCTATAGTCCCAGCACTTGGTAGCAGCAAGAGGGTTATGAGTTCACCGTCAACTTCAGCTACCTAGTATGTTCAAGACTAGCCTGGGTTTTGTAAGACTTTGTTTGAAAAAAGAATGGTAATGGCAACAGTAACAAAACAGACCCACCCAAATTAACTCCCAAAAGTGAAGGAAGCAATTTGAGACCATTTATTATAGGAGCAAATAACCTTACACATATTTAAACCTGCTAAACATAGTTCAGTAACTTTCCACAAAAGGCCAAGAACCCTGCATAAGAAGGATTTCTATCCAGAATAGTTAAAAACTTTTGAAGCTTTAGTATTTGAAAGAAGCTGCCCTGGGCTATTGGAAGATGACAGATATGTGATCTCTGCTTGTGTGTGTTATTATGAATGGAACCTAGGGCCTTGTCCATGCTAAGCAAGTGCTCTGCCACTGAGCCATACATTCCTGCCCTATAACTGAACTTATTGTTCTCTAAGGGGCCACAAATGAAACTGAACTTTTAGTGTACTTCTATGTTCACATTAGAGTTTAGTAAATATTAGTAGTTCTGATAACATGATAATATTAAATATTCCTTTTGGTTTTCTTTAGCATCTACAGCTTTTCTTGCTGACAGCCAGCCACCCAATCGGAAAGCTCTCGCTGTGTATCCAGTCTTCTTATTCTATTTCGTGATCAGTTGGATGATACTCACGTTCACTCCATAGTGGATCTGGATACAGACATTGAAAACCAGTGAACTGAAGGCTCACCCGAAAGAACAGTTTACCACGACCAACTTCCCCACTCTCTTATTCAATTCTCGAGGTATTAAAAGGGAGCCACGTAGTACTGTTGTCATTTATATAAGGAACTGATATTTGCAAGGCTGTCCTTTTCCTCTTAATGCTTTTTCTTTCAAATACATGTGCATACCACACATAGCAAAATGCCTCCTTAAGGCATGATGAAGTTACTATGATCCATTAGGGTGACAACCAGTGACCCGAAGAGCAAGTGGATCCACTCTGCAAATTAAAAAGGGTTTAGTGACTATCTTCAGCTTGGAGAATATTTGTTCAGGTGCAACTCTTAAACACATTGCCTTATGACTATTAGAATATGCCTCTTTTCATAAATAGTAATAGTCTGTATCCATTTTCTTTCTCTTTTCTCCCCCAAACTTAAGAGGGCAAAGATAGAGGTTAGGTAGGAGATTTATAGATGTGGGAGGAGAAAATATGTATTAATATTTTCAGATTTTGATCAGAGGTAGTGCTATACTTGGTTTGTTTGTTTTTAAGCAAAAGACATTTAAGAATGAGCTTTTAAAAAGTATTTTTGTATAGTTACTTTTTTGTCACGTGTAACAGTACCTCGGTTAAGACTAGTTTTTAATCTTTCTTCCATATCCTGAATATACAGTGCTAGCAGTCATACATGCAACTTTCCTTCCAAGTTCTCAGTGGTTCAATGTTTGGGCTTTTCTAAGTAGAAGAAGATAGAAATCTAGGTTCGTAGTTTGTAATACATATTGTCATGTGGGCACCTTCTTTTAAGGTATGGTTATATATTATGTAGCTAAACGGACCTATTCATTATTTTGTATGGTCCAGCCTCAGACTAGAAAGAAAGGCTACAACAGAAGTGTGCATTTATCCAATGGACACCAAATCTAGTGTTCTGAGGCCTAGGTAACAGAAGGATGTCTATGTAACGTGGCAAAGGTTGAGTTGAGTTTACAGCTGATGCCTTTCCTGTAGTGGGCTCAGCAGTTTTTTTCATTTTATATATATAGTTTTGTTTTATTTGTTTGTTTTGGCTGGGGAATAGCAATTGATTTTGTATTTTAGACATTATTTGTAAACCTAATTAGCTCCCCCTTAGATATGTACATTTTGCACATGTGCACCTACCTGTACTCTAATATTTATGCACACAAATGTGAAGGCTTTTCAGGGAACAGAGCATCTGAGACAGGCTGATCTCAACTAAACAGGACTCCTATAAGGTAGTAAGAATGGTTGCCTTCTATGTTTCAGTTGAAGAACTCTAATAGACAGATTAGGAGTCAGAGACCATTCATTGTAAATATGCAGTTGCTTATAGTGATAGCAATTCTTAATAGTGTGTTTTCTTTATCATAGAGTTGAAATATTTATTGATTTTGTATTTAAAGACTAGCTTCATATAAATATATGATTATAAAAACATAATTTTCCCCATTCTCAGAGTAACCAAATGAGCAACACTAGGCCAAATGGGTTCATATGGGATGAGTTACCAAGCATTACTGGGCTTATCTTCTCTGTTCCAGCCTTGTCTAAAGGTTTGGGGGTAGATATTTGAATTCATTATAATTTAACTTTTAAATTATAAACCCTGTGAGGATAAATCGAGTGTTTTACTCTTGAACTACTAAAGGAAAAATTTTTGAGATTTGTCATAAACTATCTCTTTCCACTCTCTGAAAAATTTTGAGCTTCCCACTCAAATATCTTTCCTAAGTTGTTGCTTGTAATCTACCCAAGTAATTATAATATTGAAGAGGTAACTATACTTCTCAAAGGAGATTTAGTCTCTACTGGATTTTACTCAGGTGAAACATTTACTCTGAAATTCCGAAGGCCACGATTTAAGGGGATTTGGAGGGTTAAGCACATTGGCTCTAAGGCAGCGTGGTCCTATTGGTCTGTTGCTCTTGGGTGACTTGAGAATGGTTTTGTGTAGTTGAAATGTAGGGCTGGGGGTGTAGTTCCATGGAGAGCATTGCCAGGCATGCACAGTACTCTTGCTTCAATCCTTGGCATTGCCAACAAAAGTGGCTAAGCTGTAGGATTGATTACTCTTTTCTAGAATTGAATGATTAAAGAATATAATTATTTTTAATATATGCAAAAGGTCTTGCTTTCTGTGGCAAGTGAAGTCCTGAGTCTGGAAGCTGTAATATAGCTTTTCCTGGTTTGCTGCAAAGGTTGATTTTAGAAATGAAGACTGGAAGGGCAGAAGCCTCCAACAGAGGAACTCCTGTTCTAGGTTGTTGACATTTCATGCTTCTGATGAATTTCAAGCTTTTGAGTATCCCTGCAGAATGTATCATAGCCAGCTTGGATGATCACCTGCTGCTTCTACATCTGAGACCATGATACTCTTGTTACATAGCAAAAGGAAGGGTGAAAACTTGATTTAATTAGTGTTCAGATTACAAAAACTCTATCGATGATAACATATTTAAAAGTTCTGAATGGTCTTGAAAGTCATCATCAAATATTGATTTTTTTTTGGTGTGTGTGTATGTTTTGTTTGGATTTTGGCCTCAAAGATATGTAAGTTAAGTTTGATCTTTTCATTGTGTTGTAGGAATTTTTTTGTTGGGCAAAGTAAAATAGCATGAGACTGGTAATCTTTTTTGTTGACTATGTCTTTTATAAATAATACCCCCAGAAATGTGATTAGAAGGCTAGTGAGTCTGAACTTGGGGATATAGTCTGTTGATTTACTACATTTGAGATGCCTGCTTATTTCTGGAGATGAGAATGAAAATTTGTCAGTTGATATTTTCGGGTACCATCAAGTTATCCATTGCATGCTGATGTTTTAGTCCGGTTTGAGCACTGAAGTGATCCTTAACTAGGCTGTCAGTTTCTGAGATGGTTGGGTGGAAATAAATGTATGAATGTTGTTGGATCCATGTATGTAAATTAGAGATCTTTTTCTAGATTTGGTGTGCTTTTGTTACGAGTATAGAACTGACAGGGACAATAATTTTATGATTATTAATAGCTAACACTTATTGGGCACTTATATATGTATATATATATATATATATATCAGTTTACTATTCTACTTTTAAAAGACTTTTTGTAATAGCTTTATTCAAGTACACTTTACCATGAAACCCATTTTTTCAAAGTGTACAATTCAGTGATTGTTACTATATTTAGAGTTCCACAACCATGTCTTCTATCTAACTTGAGAAAGTCTGTCTTTATCACTGCAGAGAAACCAATCACTCCTGTTCTCTAGTCACCTTCAGTCCTTGCAACTACTTTCTGTCCATTCTTCTGGCCAGGTACTATTTGTAGTGCTTGCTCTATTTCCTCCACTCCTCAACAGAATATACTATAATTCTTATTTTACAGTAGAAAATTGAGGCACAGAAATTTAAGTAATTGTCCGAGGTCCTGCAGGAAGTGAAGTTATAGTAAGAACACATTAGATGAGATGCAGTTTGAATTGCACTGTTAGGCACATGAAATGAATGCATTCCTTCCTGGGGTGTGTCTTCTGTTACTAACCTTTGCACCCTAGAACTGACTAGAGACAGATGTATCTTGTTCTTTTTACTACTTTACAATTTCCTGTTTCACATATACATAGTCTGTTTTTTCCTCAAAGTTTGAAGATACAACTTCTTTTCATTTTCCTAGAGAGATGGTTAATGCCTCAAAATGTAACATCTCTTCAGGTGTTTATAGTATAGGGATGTATCTGGTCACATAGGGTACTGAATATGTTTCTAAGATTTAAGATTAAAGTCATTCGAGAACTGAATGCCTTTCTATTTAGGTAAATGTGAAGAGAAAGAAGACTTTGCCTTAATGAAGCTTGTTCATTTCTGGTCTTCTTTGGTATTCTACTTTAATCCTGGTCTTTCCTATAAACAATAAACCTGTGCAAAGAAACCTGTAAAATGGTTTGGGAATGTTATATGTGTCAATAAAAACACTGGAAAGGGGCAATTTGTGCCTTTTTTTTACTGAAGGTACAGAAATACTTGTACTGTATTGATGGAAGATGATACCTATATTCTAAAGAGACAAATGTAGAATTGTGTGAAACAAGTTTGAAAAGGGAAATCACACTTATTGAGCAAACATGGTATGCCAAGCTCTGTATTAATCTTTAATACATTGTGTCTTCTCTCTTCACACCAGCCTTTGTAGTAATATGGGGCGGCAGGGCTGCGTCCCCCACACCCGGCCGCCCACATGGCTAGCTTATGCCCCGAAATAATTACACGGACACTGTATTCCTCCAAACACTGCCTGGCCCATTCTCTTCTAGGCTAATTCTCACATATTAATTTAGCCCACCTCTAATCATCTGTATGTAGCACCCCAAGGTGCGCTTACCGGGGAGATTCCAGCCTAGTCCATCCTGGGTCGGAGCTTCATCCCGGGAGCGGGGCATGGCGTCTCTCTCTGAGGCGTCTGCTCCCGAGAGAGCTGTGGAGTCTCTGACCTCACTTCCTCTTCCTCCCAGCGTTCTGATCTGTTTACTCCACCTACCTATGTCCTAACCAATAAAATGGGCCAGGGCAGTTCCTTTATTAGCCAATGACCTTCCTCCATCAAGCCTTTTTGTAATCAAATGCAGTTGTCAAGCCCATAAGCACAACTAAGACATCAATGAGTGAAGAAAAGTTTCTTGCAGCAAACAGCAATTGAAAACTTGTACTGTGAAGGTAGAGCTTATTGTGCTGGGAAGTACAATGCCTTTAGTAGACTTTCTCGCTGAAAATGGCTTCAAAGCAATATCTGAGGATATTGGAGAACAATTAGATTACGAGACAGGACAGTGTGGGTAGGACATCCCTGTGTCTAATTTGGAAGGCTGAAACCTAGAAGAGTGCATGTTTCTGAGAACAGCTGAGAAGGTTCTGACTCTGGCTATCAAAGTGCTATTTTTTGGATGACTGTCAATTCAAGCCTGCAGGGTAGTAGTCATAGGTATCATTAATGTTGAAGGAACATGGTATCTTAGACAGTCTTGTTGAGAACAATTGCTTATGGGCAAGAGTGAAGAATAACTTAGAAGTATAAATAGTAAATGAAGTTGAAACTTAATCTGCTGCGGATTTTCATGTATTATCATCATCTAACACTTTAACCCCATAAGGATGTCACCATCTTATAGTGCTGAGGGTCAAACCCAGGGCCTTTCACATGCTAGCCAAGTGTTCTGCCACTAAGCTATATCCCCGTTCCTTGGTTTTTTTGAGGCACATTACAGGCTAGCATTCTTTGCCTTGGCCTCCTGAATATTAGGATTACAAGGCATGTACCTCAAAGGTTCAACTCATAAGGAAAATGTTTTGATTCACGTCTTTGCCCATAGTAAAAGACAGGAAAATGCGAAGACAAGTAAGCAGGTTGGGGGTGGTGGTGTATACCTTTAATCCCAGCACTCAGCAGGCAGATCTGTGAGTTTGACGCCAGCCTGGTCTACAAAGTGAATTCCAGGACAGCAAGGGCTACACAGAGAAACCCTATCTCAAAAAAGCAAGAGGGAGAGGTAAACATACATTTAAATAGACACTTAAAAGTCATGAATGTAGGCTGTGGGAGCCCACAGTAGAGACAGTTTCATTCTCAAGTATGGAAGTGGCCCATAAAACTGGCCACTCTGCAGTCTTCTCTAGAAGAAAGTCATTCTCTGCTCACAGTGGAGAGACTGTGGATTGCACCTTTCATATATGCTCTCCTGGAGTATT